ATAGAAAGTACACATCTTACAAATAATCATAATAGTTAAGTCGCATTTCAAGCCGCCACAAACAACTCCACGTTGAGTTGTTGAAGCACATGGATCCATTGCGTGTCAAGTGTGAATTGGGGCAAGGCCCTAACCACAAATGAATGATTGGTTGAATTAAATGAATCACGTGCTACAACCACTCCATGTCCCCCATCATGTGTTTTCAGTGAAGTTCATGTTAAATTAGTAATATAACTGGATAATATTCTGAGGAAAGTTTATGCAAAGGTATCAAAACTAGATGTATTGACCAAATTTGTTATTATTATATTGTTTTTATTATTATTAATCAAGGTTAAGAGAGAAAAAAGAATTTACAATGAATATAATATACCAAGGCACACTTCAGGTCATTATATTGTTAAAAATTTTTAAAAAAATTATAAAATAATTATATGCATACATATACACACACATACACAAACATATACACACAACTTACTCAAACATAAAAACATATACATACACATAACAACACACAAAAAAACGCATACACAACCATACACATAAACACATGGATACTAATTGGCCTGTGGAATTAAAGATAATCAATGCAATTGTCTATTAAATGTAAACATATGTGTATAATTTATGAATGTATTGCCAAAAAAAGAAAGCAGTAAGGTGGGCAAAAGGAAAACCATGGCATATAATTTAACATAATAATAAAAACATCTAGCATGCAACATGACACAATACTTCTTTTTGAGTCCAAACCAATAAAGCATCCAGTTTTCAACAGCATATGTTGTTTACAAACTGAATGGAATTAACAATTTTAAGACTATTAGAAAGAATGGTCAAAACAATTTTATGTTCATATAACACATTAAAATCAAACGATATACATGGATCATGGAGATACTGAGAGTATCTTCTAAGATATGAATACCAGTAGTATCATAACTTGGACAGTGAAATTTGCAAGTGATTTGAATAATTACAATTTGAATTAACTAATGACTATAATAATCAACATTAACTTATAAGTAACAGTGCACAATTAGAGTTGAAAACATTTGGCACTTACAATTTGATACACTACCAAAAGCAGATACCCTAGCCAACAATTAATATACAATACAAACTTAAAAATGAGGTTATCAACCAGTATTACATTATTCGCCAACATTATAACATTGAATGTAAACGTGAGATAGTAACTATTACAAATTTAAGAGTTAGGCATGAGTAAAAAGAATACAAAAACATTCAAGAATTGAACACTTTTTATTCAAACATCCCTTGACAAGGCAACACAAAAGGTATTACTTGGTGTAACCTTGCATTGACCACAATTATTCAAAGTGATCAAGACCGACTGAATTCAACCATAGTAAACTAACAAATACTTTAATTCAGGTACAAAATGCTAAACCAAAGGTTCATATAACTATTACAAAAAAATCACTATTTACATAGACCAGGGAAATATTAAGGGTAGAAATTAACAATCTGGAAAGCAGTTGATTTGGCTGGATTGAGTAATTATTTAGAATGATAATGAATATAACAACATACAAAATGTAGGTGAAATTACTTCTCATACATTTTCAGGCCAATTAAATTATATAATTTGATAAAGGTATCATAACAAATGTAGTATACAAGGAACGATAATCACGCTCATAAAAACTGTTCAAGCGATTGGTTGTCTTGGTAGCTTAGTGGTTAGAGCAGCTGGGCTTAAAGCGAAAGATCCAGGTTCAAGTACCAGTTGAGGCAACCAATTCTTTCAACAAATTTAATTATAACAAATGTAGTTGAAAATTTAATTAGACATTAAGCTGACAGTGTCAGCAAAATTTAGACTGCATTATACCCATTAGATGTAAATGTGAGAAAACTACTACATAGCACATTGTACACAAACATGTGTAGTTGTTGTAACTGAACATGACACATTGAATTCAGGGGTGCCCAAATACCAGTTTTCCCATCAAGACACCAGGTGAAAGTGAAGGGAATTAATGCACAATGTACATAGAAACAGGAGATACTAAGGAAGGAATTAAAATTAGAACATATCAAAACAGAAGATTAGAATAGCATGTTAAGTATATTGAAACATTCTAATTTAGGATAAATTAATGAACACAAACAACACACCCAAAATATATAGATGACACTAACAATGGATCATAGATACCAACAACTTACAAAACCGGTTAAGTCATGTCATCTGCGATGTAATTAGGGAGTGTTGCCAATAACCATAACCAAAATAATGAAGCAGCCAAAAAAGGATGAAAATTATAGGAAAGTGAGGGAATAAGTGAAGGCTAGACAGTCCTGCACATATAGGGAGAAAAGATCATAAATGGAAAATAAAAACTAAACGGCAGCGAACTGATACCGGTAAACATTCATTTGTAAATCGCACAATTAGGGATTGGAACGAAATACCTGCAACAGTCATGGAGCCCTTCCCCAAGGATGTAAAGTGTTTTAAAAATCGCTTAAGAAGTCTCAAATAGTATTTTTTTTGCTTTTTTTATTTTCCTGTTTCTTCAAAGTATTAGCTATTTTTAGTGAAGTGAAGTGCAGTTTCCAGGGAAAATTCATCGTGATATGCGACATTAGCCAAATGTTAAAAATAAAATAAAATATAGTGAGTGTGGTGCGTGGACGTTGCAGTGTTAGTGCAGCGTAGCAAGACGCTAGGCAGAGTGAATAGAGTAATGAAATAAAATTTAAGATTTAGAATTAATACAATAGAATATGATAGGTAAATGAGGATGGTATTAATTTAGCTGTAAGTACATTTGGAGTATACATATGATGTGTGTATATGTGTAGGTGTGTGTGTGTGTATATAGGCGTTATACGCACATGTAGTGTGTATATGCATATGCGTATGTATATGTGATATGAGTATATATGAATATGTGTGTGTATAAGTAATGTTGTATGGTGTGTGTGCGTTGTGAGTATATACGTATTTGTTGCAGTGGTGCGATGGTTTGGTGTGTGCACAGAGAGTCTGAGTTTTCACATGTTATGCATTGAAAATGGAGGCTTTCCTGCTATGCTGGGGGTATACAGTGTTCTAGGTAATACATTATATTTAATGTATATTTGTATAGTGAAATTAATTGGCTACCACCTGGCAAAGACGCCAATTGTGGCCAAAATAAATATATTATATTAAAGTTGGGTGTGGAAACTAAGCAATGTATGGAGAACAATATACTATAATGGGAATGATAAGGTTTATTAACAATATTAACAATGGACCTGCTTTCCACATCTGTTTTCTTATTCCACCTAGTGTATGCTTGTTAGAGTTTTAATTATCTGTTGTAATTATCACTGTTGAAATTATCATTCTTTAATGTTTTGTGCAGTGCCTCAGATTAGGTTTTGATATACACCATGAATTTGTATGGCCTATTTTCTTTGTCAATGTTTATGTATTATGGAAACGTGGAGAGTTGTAAAGCAAGTTACTCATTATTTTGGTGGGAAACCCATTTGCGCTTGGGATGTTTTTGACAATATTTAACGTTGTTTTCAGTGGAAACATGGGTCATTGAGTTGAATGGCTCTATGTTTGAAAGCTAAAGACACATTGTTGTCCTCACACAGTTCATTGTTTATACTCTAGGCCTGATGAAGAAATTAAATATTTCGAAATGTTGGCACAACTAGTTTCTCATCCCACAATGACCAATCCCATTAATCAATTTCATTTTATTATTCATCACTGGTTGTGATTCTACAATGAACTTAACTCACAATGGTGTTTGTGAGTTAATGTGCTTCAAACAACTTCAATTGAAGTTTTTCAAAAACTCAAAAAATTTCTGTGAAAAAGGTTTAAAATTTTGAATTTACAGTAGCGTTTAAACTACATTTTCTTAAAACCGACTCCAAATTTTTCAAAGAAAATTCCTGTGGGCGAGGTTTTACAGTTCTTTAATATTCTTAAAATAATATTTCAGTTCTTCTATTAGGGAACCAAAAAATTAAGAAAATTTCAACAAAATGTACTTTGGGTGGCGATAGATATGAGGTGGCAAGAGTTTTATATTTCTCATTTTGTTAATATTTACATAACGGATTTTTTATACATTATTGCATTTTTGAGTACTAAAGCCTTAAATTGTGGGTTTTCTGACAAAAGCCAAACAAGTCCAAAATTTCATATTTTGAGTGTCATTACCAACTTATCAATAACTGCTGGAACATTTTTCGCTAAATGCCAAACATATTGAAACATATAAGTCACAGAATGAATAAGGGATAAATTCATTACTGTGCATGACTTACGCTATGAAGTTTTTGTTACCTCCTGAAAAATCACGAATTGGGACTATTTTCGTTCTTGTAAGAAACCCTTCAGTTATTTCGTATGGTTCTCGAAAAGTTAAAATTTTTCTCTGAAAATGAAGTCAAAATTGTGCATTTTCAGAAAAGCTCGAAAAGGCTCCAAAGTTTTCATTGAAACGTTCTGTATGGAACCAGGTTTGTCATGCGGAGGTGAGCAAAGTGCACAAAGCGTTAAAACATATTTCCGGATGTTAAGTGTCTTTGAAGATCAATTTTTCCTGGACATTCACCTTACATAAACTTTTAGAATTATTCGAGTGCAAGACTTTTTTTAATGCATTCTTCTTTAGTGTATTCCCGAAGCAACGCAAAATTTGTAGATGAAAGAAAGCATAATGTTTTGTTACATATTTGGAGAGCAACTTGTAACCACATGCTATTTTATGACTGCAAAATGTTTTAAAATCCGAACTGAAATATGATTATTTTTCTTCTGGATCCTTGGTGAGGGCAAATAGACTTTATTTCAGTATTTTCGTAATGACCATGTAGGCCGACTGCTTAAGTATCCCGCGTTGACTGCTTTCCATTTCATGTCCTACTCCTATCATTGATATCTACAAATCACCTTTCAAAGAAGAACTAAAGGAAAACGACCGGTGTTTTCATACTCTTCGCATGCGTGTGTGGGGGAACTTTCAAAATGGCGTCCTTGGAAGAGGACGAAGGCGCGAGTAATGATAATTCAAATCAGATGGAAGTAGACAGAGATTCTAATGCATCTAGTCCTCAACAGGAAGAAGAATCATCAGATTCTTCGTCTGACGACGAAGCAGAACAAGATCAGAACATTGCCATCTTGGAACAGAAGGTAATTTTTTGTGTCTTAACCTAACTTCTTTCAAAATATGAACGTCGTTTACGTTCCTGTCATAACACATAAATTCATGTTAAGAAGCTATTGTTTCAGAAATCTCTTGCTCTTGAAGTCGAAGAGTTTGTTATAAATATTAATGGTTATAACTTTTAATTCAATGTTGTGTTGCTGAAAATGTAATTGTTTGTTGACCTATGAACAAACTTTTTACAGATGTAAAGGAATGTTCACTTTAGGATTGTTGAGGGTGTTTTCTGATTTTATATAGAATTTCATTAGTCTATTACTACTAATATGTGATTTTGTTATACCTTTTAAAGTAGAAAATTGATTTAAGGAAGTTGCTTGGTTACCAGTCATTATGTTTTCAGATTTCTCAAAACCCTTATGATTATTCTGCAAATGTTGAGCTCATCAATACGCTTAGGAAGGCCGGAGATTTGGATAAACTGAGAGAAGCTCGTGAACGAATGAGCCAACACTTCCCCTTGAGTCCTGGTTGGTACTTCATGGCTTAAACACTGTGAATTGTTTGTGTGAATGTGGTAATTTTACTTCTTTGCCTTTAGAATTGTGGAAAGCATGGTTGGAAGATGAAAACAAGTTAGCTACCACTGTTGAGGAGCGCACTACTGTCAAAGATTTGTTTGAACGAGCTGTGAAAGATTATGTCTGTAAGTGAAAAAAAAAAATAATAATAATAATTTTAAAAAAATCTATGGCTTAATTATATGTATAGTGATATATTTGATTGAATTATTATGTTTATAGCTGTAGAACTTTGGCTTGAATATGTACAGTTCAGCATTGGATTCATGGGAGATCAAAATGGAATGGATAATGTAAGAGCTGTTTTTGAAAGAGCATTGACAGCAGCTGGTTTACATGTATCAAAAGGTGTAGTGCTGTGGGAAGCCTATCGTGAATTTGAACAATGTATGCTGACCATGATAGAGGTAAGAAATTGGTTGATGTGGAGAATAGCACTTTCCCATGCCACAAGTCCACCTAAACTGTGCATCAATATCTGCCATGAAGTACATACATCATAGAAACAGGTTAATGAGAAGATATTTATTTGTACTTGCTATTGATGCGGGTGGCAAAGTTGCATTATATATGAAAAGATTATTATTAAATTGATTTGGGTTAAAGTTTAGTATACGGTACACCCTTAGAGAAGCTTGGCAGCGGGGATTAAGCCCTAATTCCTGTACGTGCTCTAATAGAAATGAGTAAAACTTACAAATAGGAGATTTTCATGGTTCGCCCTTTATATGCTTTGTCCCCGCCACATTGTAACGCCAATTTACTTTCAAAAGCAAGTTTTCTCGCTTCGCTCGCCCGGATCCAAGTCACGGCAAGGCTCAGGCCTTCAGCCCTCGCATTCACTATAAACATCCTTGAGTCTATCCAATGCATAATTACCAATTCACTTTTATAAGAAAGCACTTTTCAGGAAAGCCTCCAGAATTCTGACTGCCTAATTAACGTCGGAACGGGGCGAAGTGCCGGTTTAAACGACTTCCTTAGGTTGTACTGTATACTACATTTCAGCCTTGATTTGTTATTGTACTTGTATAGTATTTTATGTCATAGAGGATGCACTGGAAGTTTATTATTTTTCTTTCTGTTTTGGGATTTTGGTTAAGTAATGCAAATAGTAATAAATAAAACTGATGTTTTGATAGAGTACTATTTCCTTACTATGAAGAAGGTTTATAAAACTGTATGATTGTCAGAGCGAGAGCAGAGGGTGAACCACATTGTAAGCACAAGGGCTGGAAGACCCTTATGATGCCAATTGTTGGATCCATTATTGAATTGAATTGAATTGATGCCTTATTTTACGCGGCGAGACTCGAGCCATCTGGCCCACTCTTCCCTCTGACCATGCAAATGTCACTATGCTCCTTTCACCAACTAGCGTAGAAAGGAGGTATTTCTTGGGTGCCAAAACAGGAGATTTAAATTTAGCTCAGAGGCGTCATTTAGGCTTGAGGATCTTTGACGTGCAGTAAATCTACTAACATGGGACAGCCGGCTTTACTTCCCCTCTGAAGGAAGGTGTATAAAGGATTTTTTTCGCCCTTAAAAATCCACAGCTCCGATCGGGTTTTAACTCCCCAACTTGGGTATAACAGTCTGATGCACTAACCGTTACATCACTGCTACAAACCACTTAGAACCAAAATTTGTGTATTATAAAATTACATTCTCATGAAAATTACATTTGTTTAATCAGATTTGTGTTTTACATGTTAAGTCTGTTAGATAATTTGCCAATAAAATAATACTTTTGAAAATTATACATACCAAAAATATTAAATTGTTTATTTCTTTATAATTTGAATGTTGGTGAGTAACTATATTATTAAGAAGTGTTTTACTACAGTTTATTTACATTTACATTATAGTATTGGTGAGTTGCTTTTCTTAGGCTTACAAGAGGCCTTGTAGGAATATTTGCAGGTGGCGTTGATGGAGGGGGGTTGCTATTCTCCACATATTTTCTTGTGGTTACTTTGTCTTCCCATTCTTTGATGTTTACTTTTAAATTTTGCTCAGGCAAATGCTGATGCAAGTGATGAGGACAAGGAAGTTCAAAAGCGAAAGTTGGATTCTTTGTTCAGGCGCCAGTTGTCAGTTCCTTTACTTGAAATGGAACGGGCGTATGAAGAGTATGTGAGCTGGATTGGCGGTGGCAGCAGAGAGGGGCAAAATGGTTTAGATGAAAATGTTAATAGAGTGTATAAAAAAGCACTAGAGAAGTTGGGTAAAGTACTTCCTTTTGAGATGCAGTTGGTGAGTATATTGTAGATATAGCAGTTTCTTATTAATGTTTTTCCTATTATAGAAAAAAATAGTAATTTTTGATATTCAGTAAATTATTGAAGATGTCAATGCTTTAGAATATACAGGTTATAATCCTTGTTCTAAATTTTCTAGTACAATTCAACTGTCAAAACAATTTCTGTAAAATTTTGCTTCATTATTACTTGTTAATTGTTTACATTATAATTATAATTTTTTTATCGATTCTAGTGATCCACTGTTTATGAGCAGAGCGTGATGTTGTCTTGTTCTAAAACATCCTCTCCAGTAAGCTTTTCTGACGTATCAAGACACAAAAGGGGGACAAAGCTTGTAGGGATGTTTTTACTTTATTAATGTCCTACTTAGTATTGGGCATTTGCCTTTACTATATTGTATGTAAATAGATAAATTAATAAATAAAAAATATTTGTGTAGACATCAGTTACTGGCTGAAGGATGTGGTTCACTGCCACATGAACAATGTTATTTAGATGAAGTTCTAAAATCATGGTTTAAAAAAAAAATATCTTACACCATGACTAAAATGTTGCACAGTAAGACGCGGAATAAAACAAATTATTTTCAGCGTGGCGATTGCTATGAACCGTTTTTCTTGACTCCCATGATGGTTTTCTGGCATGAACATTTTCCAAAGGAATAATCTACAGTTCAAGCCGCGAGTCTTGTACAGAAAGGGCACTGTATTTCTGTCCGAACAAGTTTTAGTTTCACCATCCAGTCAACAATGGTCTGTTCTGTTGAGATAGTTGCCAATAGCGGCATTAAATTGAACCTTGTCATCCTCAAAACTCGAACATACACAAACTAAAAAGTAAAACCAGAGAAAAAGATATGAAATGCATAATAACGTGGAGAAACAACGAGTGAATTCCACGGTTGGTATCCTACGTGTTTTTCAAGTAGTGGGGTAATTAATGAACAAGTGTATACCACACTTCGCTCATAACCAGCATATTGCTAGAATACCCTTTTTTATTATTTTTTCAGTTATTAACGTTCAAAATTTCTTATAGATGTCCACACCAGAGAGTCGAACTGATGTGTATCGCGAGTACCTGGACTATGAGAAAGGTGATGGAGAACCAGCCAGAGTGCAATGCTTATATGAACGAGCCTTGGCTGAGCTTTGCCTTGATCCTGTTCTGTGGCTAGACTACCTCAAATATGTGGACACGCAATTGAAAATTGACACAATTGTTCTCTCTGTTTGTGAAAGAGCTGTCAGAAATTGCCCATGGAGTGCACCCTTGTGGGTCTACTATCTGCGAATTCTTGAAAGATATAAGCATCCACACCAGAAGTTGACAGGTACGGTAGTCTATTACAGTTATTATTGAACTCCTCTTTTTCATGAGACCTATACCTATGGTTTGAGTCCTGATGGTGGCAGAATTTGCAACATTAGCTCACCAGCTAGGTCTAATTCAGACACTCCCTGGGGGAGAATTCTAGCAGCCAGCTGCTCTGATCGGCAATTTTCCATGAGATATCCAATCAAAACCAGGTGAATGAGTGGATGGGTGGGTGCGTGCGTGAGGAAATCGGGTAGGATATATGTACATACTCTATATGTATATCCTACCAGTCTTCCTACCAGTGAGAAGTGACTATATGTGCAAAAGCAAAAATAGAATGTCTGTGGTTGAGTAGTTCGCTCGTTACTTCTGTTTTTTCTGTGTGAACATATGTATGGTCTCAGTTTACACTTTCTGACAGTTCTCACTTTCAAATTTTAACAATTTCCTGTGATAACAATATATCTTGAATGTAGTGTAAAATATGTTGCTTTATCATGTTTCTGAAATGGATATTTCTGTTTATTGTTGTTTAAATTAATTGAAATTTGCATTTTTAGAGGTAATGGAACAAGCTTTGGGAGTTGGTTTCTCCACTGCTGCAGAATATCGGGGATTGTGGATGGCTTACCTGGACTATTTGCGAAGACGAGTAAAGTGGGGAGAAGATGGAGAAGAAGAACAGCTTAAGGAACTCAGAGCTGCATTTAACCGAGCCTGTGAACATCTTGCTCAGTGTAAGATTTACTGTACCACTTTCCGTATTTATTTATTGAAATTAATATGATAGATATAAAGTTGTTATAATACATTTATTTAATTATTTTTTATCAAAGATTAGTGTAAAAATTTTCACTTGACAGTGTATCTTTTTTATACATCACACTTGATCTCAGAATCATACAGTATAATAATTATGTAAGTTTTATTTAAAAGAGTTAACACTATGGGTTTCACATCCATGTGTGTAATCTATTTCACTTATTGATTATGTTGGCTGTGAAGTGTTTTGATGCATGTGTGTACTTTCCATGCCAAATATTTCTTAACTTTTTAATCTAATTACCGTACAAGTTTCTAACTTTTTGATTTGCTGTTGCTATAAAATGCTTGGCTCCACCTGTATAATATTAACACTTATTAACAGATAAAGTCATGCCAAGAACACCTATAACTCAGCCAAACCTTATTGCCTCCCAAAATAATACTTTGAAAACTTCATGTTTCAGCTCTGCCTGGCTTTCTTCTCTATTCAGTAAGCAATGGCTCACTTGTATTCACCTGCAAATGAATGAACTGAAGTGAATGGAAGTGAGACGGAAACTGGTGTTATTATTTATCACATTACTGAGGGCACATTTCATTTAAACTAGTATATTGATGATGACAGGACTCTGCCTATGACACAACAATAAACTTGATGGATCTTTGTTAAAAGAGAATTACCACAAGAAATTTATTCAAATTCTGAATCCTGTGTATATATTAAATACATTGTAAAGGCATTCGCTAAATACTTTTCATTTTGTAGATCTTATAAAAGTAATTTAAATATTAGACTTGATGACTAATCTTATTCACTTTCTGTGTTATAAGTTATCATTATTTTTTGGTTGACATTAAGAAAAATAGTATGTATTTTGTGATTTTGATTAGGTGTGTATGCTTTACAGTTTTTGGACTTCAAGGTGATCCCACATGCATGGTACTACAGGCGTGGGCTCGTATGGAAGCTGTTCATGCACGAGAAATGGAGACCACTCGTCGCCTCTGGAGTGACATTCTGAGTCAGGGGCATGACAAAACTGCAAGTATGTGGCTCGAGTATATCAATCTGGAGAAATGTTATGGGGACACAAAACATCTGCGACGTCTCTACCAGCGAGCTTTAGCTGCGACGCAAGACTGGCCTGAAAGCATAGGAGATGCGTGGTTGAACTTTGAGCGAGATGAAGGCACTTTGGAGACATTTGAGGCATGTGAGAGCAAGTACGAAGCTCGGATGAAGGCTGTACTGGAGCTGCGGGAGAAACAGGAGGCCCAGCAAGCAGCTCAACAAGCAGAAAGTGCAGCTGCGCACAAAGGACATCGCCACGATGCCAGTAAACGCAAGGTAGATATTGTTAAATTCATTCAGGAACTTGGGAACAATTGTCCTTAGCAATTTTAAACTGAAATTGAGTTACAAAGCAAAAAGTCCTCAGGCCCCAACCTGACACTAACTAAGGACTGTATTACAAATTTAACTATTTTATTTTTCCGTTTGATGTCAAAATTTGATACTACATAGAGAGACATCAAACTGGAAGGGTGAAGGCTGTGTTGATGGTAATACCATATAAACTCAAATATAACCTGCGTAATTTTTCCAAAAATTGCTTGCTAATAATTGGTGTGTGGCTAATGTTTGCATCAAGGGTGGTGTGTGAACTTGAAGCGTCTTGCATGTGGTCACATGGCAAGGGGGGTAGTAGAAAGCATTCATTTGAGATGTAGATGTTTACCAGTCATACTCGCAGATCTTTCACTGTGAAAGAAAAACTACGTGCAATAGAAAAAGCAGAAGAAATGAGTATCCATGCAGCGGGAAGAAAGCATGGTGTAGATGAAGTTGTATTAATGTGTGGCGTAAAAACAAAACGCCACTTGGACTAGCCAGTGTTAATTGGCAGGCTTTTCAAGGACTGAAATTTTTGCAATATAAGTGGGAAAATAAAAAAAAAGTTCTTTTTGAGATTGCTTTCTGTGAAACTAGCAAGGGTGCGGGTAATATTTGAGGGTGGGGTATATTTGTGTATATATGATATATCAATTTTTGCCTGAAGATGGTGTAGGACAATTTTATCTCAAGTCCTTCAGCTGATAGCTTGTGTCCTTCTGACTCTTGAAACTAGATTTCTAATTGGCTTTTAGTGTAATAAAATTTCTTTTTATATAGAAAATTTTCCTTATCAATTTGAGGAAATTGACTCTTGTGATACACAAGCATTGAATAATATTCTATTTGAAATTTCAAGTATTTTCTATTTGAAAAGTCAGATTTTTTCCATATAGTACATAGGGGGTTGCATCGTTGATTTCAATAACTGGATGTTTTTTGGCAGTTGTTGGAGAGTGTTCGGGTATTATTTTCCGCCTTCAATGGAGCCGTTCACAATATCCGATATTTCGAGGGATTGCTCCTCGGTTGGAAATGTTTCCGCTGCTGCTAGTTGGAGAACATACTGACGCGAGGGCATTGTAAAAGTGTAAAATGATGTTACAGTTTGAAATTCCTCCTGATTGTTTGTCTGTCCTATCCGTTTCCATGCACTCATTGTCGGCAGGGCTTACCTCAAATTCTGAATTGATGAATTCTTCAAGTAGGATGTGGCGTGCTAGACAGTCTTCTGGTGTCCGACACTGTGAGCCTGGATTGCAGTAAATGCAGAGGCAGTAGAGAGATCCATGCTGGTAGAACTCAATAGGCATATTGGCGATTTGTTCGGTTGTGCCGTTGCTTTATATAGGGGAAAGATGCGTCATATATGGTCATGTGACCTTGGTTGAATATTGTGCAGTCTTGCATCCATCCTTCCTTCTTCCGCGTTGCCGTGTAGTTGTTGACCTTGATGTATGTTGATACAACTACACAACTTCGTATTCTGAATATTAATGGCATGAGAGTTATTTAAAAAAATTACATTTCTGTCATTTTATCAATACGAAAAGTTTGAAGCAAAAAATTGGAGTTGTTTCTGAGAAAATTCTGAAAATGCCGAAATTTGAGCTTGTTTTCACAGAAAGGTTTTAAGGTTGCATGAAAACTTTATAAGACATCATTGTACATGTACTTGTACCTGTAAATGCAATTGTTGCTAACATAAATATTAATGAAGGGAGGGGCTAGTCAAAAACATTATATTTTGTAATTTTTGAAAAAACGAAAGTATATAACAAAATGGTGTTTATGCTATCTTATAGAGTACATTTAGCACTATCTCTGCAGAGAGTTTAAAGAAAAAAATTTGGAGCAGTTTTAAAGAAATTTTAGCTGAAACTAGAGCCATCTCTCACTTCACAAATAGATAGTAATATTTCTTAAAGAGAAGTTTGATAATTATATCTTAGGTACTGCTAGACCTTGAAGCACCTACTCAAGTAATGACAACTGTAAGGACTATGCTTTACAGCTTGAGCACACTATTGATTGGAAGGTTAGGGCTACAATCAAGGTATGGTTTCTTCATTTTTGGCTTTGGTGAGTTTGTGGCAAGAATTGAATTTGTGGGCCAATTTCTCTAATCAGAGATCACTTCCAAGTGAGAGCCAAAGCACCCCGTATAGAGGACCACAAACAGCATTCAATCTTTCTTTCTCAATATTACCCTATCTGGACTGTGAAGGAGAGACCGTAGGGAGATTAGGTTATTTTCTGCTTCATGCATAACAGTGTCCCCAAGCTGTTACAGCATAGGACAAGAGGAGTAATTCCTCTTAAATATATTTAGTAAGTCTTACTGCAAGTCGTCAGAGTCATAGCTTTTTATCCCTATTGGCCAGGGGCGCAGTGCTGTTAGTATGTGGGTTTCCTAGACAGTCGCCCAAACAGGAACCCGCAGTGACTTGAACTACTGAACTTCTATGACTTCAAGGAGCTTGGTTTAGAAGTTTGCAACTGGCCTCGGTTGTAACGAGCATAAGCTGGCATAGAAAAAGCTTTGTGAACTCTGAGCTAACACTACGAAATAGTAAAGATCTTGTACAAGACCTGTTGAAATCATAGAAAACTCAATAAAAAAATTAATTATTGAGAAATTAAATAACCATTTGTTTTTCCTCTGATGTAGCGAGATGATGTGAGCCGGTGGGCTGCTTTAGCTGGGCAGTCGGTGACAGTAAAAAGGGTGCCTGGCAGCAAATTACCTTCAAAACCTGAAGGAGCAAAGGGAAACGGTGAACCAACACCCTCTGTTTCGGATGCTGATGAACCTTCAAAGAAAAAGCCACGAAGTAAGCCATGATTCATAATCTCATATTTTATGCATGATATTTGAAGTGCAATAACTCATAGAAGTATTAAAAATTACTTCATAATGATACATTTCATTGGAATGATATGCTTTATCTGTCTTACTTTAAGGAATGGTATTATTTGAATCTAACTACTTGCTGTTTTTGTCCCAAGTGTTTTTGTAGGAAAGAATTAATACTGTTTTTATTGTTGTTGTTTTTCCAGGTGAATCACATACTTCTGGGGATCATGGGGTGAAAGTTGAACATGATCCCAGCAAAGATAATCAAACTGTCTTTGTGAGCAACTTAGAATATTCTACCACAGAAGAGCAAATTCGAGAATTGTTTGCACCCATTGGTACTATTACAGATTTACGTCTAGTCAAGGACTTTAAAGGTCGATCTAAAGGCTACTGCTACGTGGTTTATAGCTCTCCGGTATGATATGTTTTTATTCTTTTGAAATCTTTAAAAGATATGTATTCTTTTATTTTGGTGAAAGGTATGAAAAGTAATGAAAAGTTAAAAAGTATTCATTAATATACTGATTACATCTTTTCGTATTTTAGTTGTTTTTTATTTTTTCAGTGACTATTTTATTTGTTTTATGATAATACACTACGAGCTATAAAAATAAGTACTCTTAAACTGAAGTGTTCAAACGGAATGTAACATAACACAGAGAGATAGCAGTGATATCAATGTGCACACACGACTAATTTCCTAATCAATACAAATTGTCTGTTTAATGTTGCAATATGTTCAATTCAAACCAACATTGAGTTCATCCCCTTCATCATGAGTAGAAAATGACAGAGAGAAATTTGCCAGATGTTAACAGAATGGGAGGCCTTTCAGGATGGGTTAAGAGAATGGGCCTTAAGGAACATCAAGAAAGTAGGTCAACTGCAAGAAGTCAGGTTTTCCACATTTGTGGCATGTCTCAAACACCACATTCTGTTCATACTGTGGGTAAATGTATTTCCAAGGCTTGCAACAGATGAGTTAGGATAGGGTAACAAATGTTGCCTCTGCAGTGCCTGTGTCTAGGAGGTCCTGAGGTTGAAGTCTGAGTTGTGGCAGATTTTTGATGCTGGCTAGATAACTAGGATGAATTCAGCCACTGAACGAATTCTAGTGGCGCGCATGATCTTTCCTTCCTCTTCCTTGTTCCATCTTCGCCAGTGGCATGACGTTCGGGCCGACAATGTGAGCTAGCCCAGGTAAAAGAGGGCCCCTGCTATAATCTGTTAGTAACATTGATTTCTTATGTAGGAATTGGAGACTGATGAATATAAATTTAGTAAAGGATATTTTTATTATTTAAGGTACTAACACTACTTGTGTTAGTATCAAGGAGGCCCAGATAAAAGTTTGTCAGATGGGCTTGCACTCATTTTGTTGCGTTGCTGACCCTCATCCCTTACTAACACTCTTACACTTACACGGACTACACTACCACACATGCTGGGATAACTAAATTTCAAAGGGGCAAAATGGGTATTGCTGGATTTGAAACTAGCCCCCTCTTATATGAAGTTTAATTATATTATGTGTTTTTAACAAACTTTATTCATTTGAACACTTCTTTTATGTGGGATTTATGTTAAGAAGTGTTAGAATTAATGTAGTTATTAAATTATTTTCTTTGTCGTTCATGTTACTTCTGAAACCCATTGTTAGTGTGTATTTCTCATCCGATTCTTAAAAAAAAAAGAAAGGGTAGAGGGCAAAAATAATGATGATGAAAAAGTTTAGAATGTAAATTTTGTTTCTTTGCAGGATGAAGCAGCAGAGGCTCTAAAGAAGGATAGAGAATCATTGGCAGGTAGACCTGTGTTTGTGTCAAAATGTGATGCCAATAAGCTTAAACGGCAACCAGTCTTCAAGTATAGCAATGAACTGGAGAAGAACAAGTTATTTATAAGAGGTAAAATCAGATACTCATTCATTATTTTAATATAAAATAGCAAATAATTATTATGGTTATTAGTTCTGGTGTGAGAAGAAACGTTAAAAATATTCCAAGTAGGTTTCAGTCCTCAAGTGAAGGACTGACAACTGACATAATGGTAGCCCTTATATCACACATCCAGAGTAAAATCTTAAAATTCTCCCAAAAACAAATGTTTTGATATAAATGCTGTAGGCATATGTTCATAGAATTACAATATGTGTATAGAAAGCAGGAGGAAGTGTATATTATCTCAAATATCTGTATCAAACTAATTTGCAATTAGTCAATTATTATTTATATTATCCAAAATAGATTATTAAAGTCTAAAGTAGCAACAGCTTCAAAGCATTTGTTGAACACAGCTGAATGAAATTGACATCAGGCAACATGTGGTGGCTAGAAGTATGTGTCAGTAACAGAAATAGAAGATATTATGTGGGAAACATAAATCATACTGCTGGTAGTAAGTTTCTAAGAGACTTCTAAGAACTAGTGAGAGACAAAGTGTGTAGTTTCAAGTTAATCTTCATCAATTGTAAATTTCTGTTATTATATTACCACTTAACCTAACCAGCATCACTATAAACATCAGTTGATGCTACGCTACCAATTTCCGTGTTGGTTACAAGATTCTTGTGTCATTGTGAATGACCTAAAACAACCTTCAGTTTTTGCAACTCATCATTTTCAGAATGTTTTTATCCCAAAATATTTCTCACAAACACACAAGACACCTCATGCTTTGACAGTTACCTTACTGTAGTCACCATTCTATAGCTAATACTAACATTGGTCAGTAGAAGTCCAAAACAGTCAATTTATTGTAATTTGAACAGCTTTATCCAAACTGTCTGGCTGTGAATGAATTGGCTACTCGTAACATTTTTCATATTTCAGACTTAAATCGTAACTTATACACAACTATGAAAGATCTGCATTAACACAAACTTTATTTTTCCTTTAGCTTGCAAAAATTAAAGATTGAGAATTATCTTTGATGCTCCACACTTTTCAAATGATACTTGCATGGCTCAAGTTAGTATCCTTTGTTTTAGTTACATGAACACTAATAATAGTTAATTAAAGTTTTGCATGGGTATGAACTTATGACAAGGATATTGGGATTTTAACATTTTTTAAATATTTAGTTTTTCCTGAATAAAAGTTAACAGATCATTGCGAAATACCTTTTTAAAATTTGTTGTTCCTTTCTTTCGTCATCTGCATGTCAAAATGGCGGTCATTTTGAGACACTTATTTCATATCTTTTGAACGAATTGTTCTAGGAGACTTTTTTAATAAATACTAGAGAAGAGTTAGTTTTATTAGTACTGCTTGCATTTCAAAGTGCTTTGCAAGTTTTATCTTCTATAACAATTTATGCAGCGACTGTCTTTGCAAAAGTATTAAATTTGAGGCTGATTTCTAAAAAATGACATCTCCGAAACTACTGAAGTGATAATTTTGAACTTTTTGCAGGAGAACAATCCATGGCGTATGGGACCAAAATTTGTTCAGTAAATTTCATACTTCCAGATTTCTGCATGAAAGTACAGAAAAAAAAGTGAAAAAATAATTATTTTTTTTATTTCAGATTTGCTGAAAATTACAAAAACTATTCAAAAGATATGCTTATATTTACTTAAAAAAATATTTCCACCAATCTGCTCTTAAAGTTTTACAGCTGTGAATTGAAAAGTTTCTGAGATAATGAGTGAAATGCACAGACAAATTAACATGAGAGAGATATAGCTTTGTCTCTCCCTAACTGTTGCGCTCTTGCGTTGAAGAGAAATATTAAGCCATAATACAATCTCAAAATTACTATTAATTTCCTTGTCTACTAATATTTTTTTGTTATGGTTCTTAGGATTGCCTCTGACAACCACGAAGGAAGAACTAGAAGACCTCTTTAAATCATTTGGAGTTCTGAAGGATGTGAGAATAGTTACCTATCGAAATGGACATTCCAAAGGCCTGGCTTATGTTGAATTTGTTGATGAGGTAAATAACATCATGTTTACATGGAGTTTGTAGATTTATAAGGGAGGAAGGAAAGGAAAAAGAAAAGAAAGAAAAAAAGGAGGGGAATTTTCTGTACAAGTTTGCACTATTATTTTCCTCCTGTTCAGCTTTTACTGTTCTGCTTTCTTTTCCTGTGCTTAAAAACCCATGCTTCCTACTTCTGACATGCATCTGTATGCAAATACTCATTATGAGCTGACTTCATCCACTATATTGTCACTAGAGGTCTTGTTATCCAATGCAACTAATTTGGGGACATTTAAGAAATATGTACATGTTGGGGGTGGGGGTCACTTTGTTATGAAATGTTGTAGATGCAGGAGGAGAGTAATTGTAAAGTGTACATGCACTGCAGAAACAAGTGTCTCTTTTAAAAATGTTAGACATTAAAATTAAATTAAAAATGTGTTTTTACCAAGAAAAAACGCCAGTTATTTCACTTAAAAGTATCTGCAAAATGTAAGATTAGTGAAAGTAATAACATTCATGTTTTTGTATTTTCCTCAAATTTCTTGGTTTCTAACAAAACCATAGATACCTCTCAAATGGCATTATTTTCTTTCAATTTCTGCATGCATTGGAAATTAGTAATAAACTCTAATTTTTTACTGTTTTATTATTAAATTATTTCTTAAACTGATTACTTTGCACAACCAAGATAATGAAAAACTTCCATATTTTACTGGCATTGCCGGACATAATAATACGGGCCTCTAACATATTGAGTGCATGATTGACTTTACATGAATTCGGGCAACGAGAATGTTAATGTAGAGGAGTCCACAGAATTTCAAGTTCAAGTTCAAGTTCAAGTTCAGTATTTAGGTTGTTTAATCCGTCGCTACGTAGGGCATTTCAACTGGTTTCCTGGCAAGGATTTTCTGGTATTTTGGAATTTTGGATGATGGAAAAATGATGATTACAGAATGAAAAAATAGGTGCGCTAGTGTCACGGCTTTGCCAACATTGCACAATAAAAATTTGATGCATTTAAAGGAAATATTGAAACCCCAGGGAAAGATGTATAGTGACATTAAGGCATGTGTCACACGAGTTTTGGGTTGACGCGCATTGAAAGCGGTACCTTGACTCAGTCGGTAGGTACAAAAAAAGGGGAATTACCTCAGAAAAGGTCATAAAAATACCCAGGGACTAGTTAGAACACCACGTTTTTGACCTCTCAAACCTGTGCTAAATCAGTGAGGCCCAAAAAAACTATTTTTGCAGGTATGTATGTGTATATATGACGACACCCCTAGTGTATCGTCAGCGTTAGGTGAAGTGTGTAAATGCAATGTGCTTGTAACACAGGCTCAAAGGACTGGTTGGATAAAGTGCGAATATCAGTGCTATCTTTTCCACCGGACATGCTTATGCCTGGCCTGAAGTTCTTCTAAGTGACAAATAAAGTATTTCAGCTTCCGTGTCAATGACAAGTAATGTACTTCATCTTCTGGTCTCAATCAGGTTTTTGTCCAGTTTTTCTGATTCATTGAGTAAATGCTGAGATGTCCCCTTGTTTTGCTTCTGGTCATAAATGTAGCTTCACTGTGTGCAAGTTTTGTTGAACTTTGCTTTTGCTATTAGAAGTACTGACTGGAGTAGAGCTGGGAGCATGTTACAAATTTGTTAGTAATAAAATATAAAATAAAAAAACACCACTCATCAACTGCAGTTTGTTTATCAAAACAAGTTGTGTATAAGTCAAGAGCAAAAATATCTAGATTTCAATAACTGCTAACTTTGTTTTTGAAACTTATTCTCAGTATCATTCAGTTTAATGTTAAAATTTTAGAAAGATATTCTGGAGCTCAAGGAAATGAGCACATGTGGTATTTTTATCTCCTACACCACATACAGTTTTTACTTTGACTAAACAAATCAAAAGTAACATGTTTGTGTTTTATTGTAAATGCTGTCCTAATAAACATCCATGTTGTCCATCCAAAAACTTAACTACTTGTGGATTCATAAGAAATATCTAATTTTGTTGTCACCTGCTTACTCATTTTGTGTGTGTACGCTTGTGCATGATGCACTGATCATATGAAATACTTACATGTTCACTTGGTTTTGAATCAATGTTCAGACAGTTGTCTTCAGGGGCTGAATTTAAAAGTTTGGGTGGTTAATCGTGTACAAAATCGTCATTCTGAAGGATTAACTGAGAGTCCAGTTGTGATGCTTGGGATGAAGAATTTTAGACAGAGGAGAAGGGGAAGACTGAAGTTCTTGGCAATGAAAGAAGAGGGAAGTTTGGATGGGGAAAATTAGAAGTGAAAATCTGAACTACCATTGGTTGATGTAGATGCTATTATTAAATTTATGTGAATGTGGACAAAACACTGTCATAAACATTTGTGAAGTTTGGATCTCTACTATACTGTTCATAGTTTTATTCAACATAATGTTTCCAAAACTATTGTTTTGGGAATGATGCCTGGGCTCAAGACTCAAAATTTCATGATTTTCAAAATCTTTGAAATGTTGAAAATCCATTCTGTGGTAAAATATGGAATTCCATCTGTTTACACTTGTCCCTAATATTAATGGAATTATCCTCATTTTGACGTTCCATTTTGCCTGACCGATAGCATTGTTCAGTCTTTACATTTTAATTTGTAGGCTACAGTATCTTTTTCTTTCTTTGTAGTGATGGTATTTAAGAATTATAAATTAATTTATTTATAAAAAATATAATGAATAATGTTAAAAATTTAACAAAATACAGAATTCAATAATAGGTCGAGAATTTAATTTTACTGAGACAAGTTAAAAATATTTTTTTCTTTCAGGCGGCAGCAGCCCATGCATTAATTAAAACAGACGGTATTACTGTGGGGAGTCGCACCATCTCTGTGGCCATCAGCAAACCTCCTGGGCGTAAGACACCTGCAGGAGGCCCTCCACTTCCGTCTTCCACTGGTCCTCCATCGTTAGGAGGAGGCATAAAGGAGAAAGGAGCGTAAGTATCAAAATCATGGGTTCAGATAATGTCAAGGTTAGTGTGTAGCCTAAGAACAATTCAGATGTAAATGATACACTTGTTCAAAATGGTTTCTTAGAACTACAGCTAAGAATGTTCAATGTTTTGTTTTCTAGAAATGCCTAGTCATTGAAATCATAAATTTCTGTTTGGATTTTACTATTAACATCATAAAGAGCCTATAGAGAAAGAAATGATTGTTGAATCTTAGGGTCAAGGGGTGAAGGTATTGAGAATGTTGGCAAATGAATCTTATATTAGTTGTTTGGTGCTGACTGCTATATTGTGATGCTATCCGCCCCTTCAGATTGTGACAGTAGTGAGAAATAGCCATTGAGGATATGATTTTGTTCCCTCAACCTCGTTCCTGCTTTGACACTCATGTATTTAACACTGTCATGTTAATATTACTGCATTAAAAGTTGCCCAGCTGTATGCTCTCTGGTAAGCATACTCTGATTATTTCACACTTGTTCATTTAATCCTACCGATACATGCAGGACATCATTTTGACTGCATTTTTCAGGAAGTAATTAATAAGGTTTGATTTAGACTAGTAAAAAGGTAATTTACTATTCGTAGGTTCATAGTAAACCACATTCGGTTTACGATTCAGATGCCATTAATTATTGCAACTGTGGCTCCAATTTACTCACTAGTCTTATTTGAACATCCCGAATATTCTCAGTGTACGCTATCTATGCCATGATTACAGGGCTTGGCGAAAATTTGTTTGCATGGTAGCAACTACCATGATACTTTAAAGAATCTCTATTCCACCGCCTACTGCTCTGAGCTACTGGCTCCATTTATCTTCTCTACCGGTCCTTACTCGACCTCTAAATTTGCTTCTCCTTTTCACCCACAGTCCCTGCATCACAAAGCTTCTTCTCCCCTTTCTGTCTGGATCGGTAGAACTCCTTCCCCTTTTCACTTGACTCAATAATTTTTGTATATTGCATGGAAAATTCCTATCCTTCGCCCTATTGGCTGGTTGCAACGAGGTTAACTCCTCTGCTGCACGCATTAAGAGTTCGGCTGGAAAAACTTGAGTGAGGCGAATTTACCCATGGGAGTAATTGTCAATGAGTTCCTGCTTGTCCTCAAAGGATGTATCGGTTTATGATCACGCAGCCTGCTCAGTTGCTGGCCTTGTTACACCTATCTGCCCAATTATTGACAACTTTGACATGCGCAACTGCTCCTCGGCTCGTTCTGCCTTTTATTAAATTTTCCAGTAGCTACAGCAAGTAACCATAATTGATATGTGAGGAGAGAGGTACGTGCGTGAGGCAAATTACCCCGCAGGGAATTTATGGGAACTTAAATTTTCATTTGTCGCCTACTGCTGGTGGCTTGCCTTCGCTCTCTTCGATCGTAACCATCTGTCAGCGCTCAGATCGGCGCTCCAGCTCTGTTGTGTTCCGACTCTCCTGCACCCTGTTTTCGTTACGCCTTTCGCAAAAATACTTATGAAAGTCTGGATGTCATGATCCCATCACAATATGGGAATAGTTTCATAAGCAGCTTTTCAAACTTGAAAATGCAACTTTGTTGGGCCTCCATTGGCAATTGATCAGCCCAGTTCCTTATTTTACCTTAGTGTGCTGATCAGTGATTCTGTTTATCAATCAGTTTCTGGTGTTGAGAATTTTTGACTGCTTGTGAGCATTGTTTTCAAGGAGCAGCCCTGGGGGAAAGAAAGAAAGAAGTTCATCCATGCACAAAACACAGATGCATGCTGTTTGCTTAGTTTACATCTTTTGTAGGTGACTAAAGATTTAATACCATCTTGTTTGCCTGTTCACAGATTTCAAAATATGGTTAAAGTCATAGGATTCTTGAGAAACAGACAAAATATTTGATTTATGGTATTGTGGCTTACCAGCAACAAGATGGCAAAACTTTAGTTAAAATGGTATTACCAATTCCTCATGAGCTTCATTGTTGCCTCGGGTGTTGCCTGTTGAGGGGGCCAGGCGAGGTCAAGGAGGAGCAGGCAGCACAAGGTGCAATGAGAGGAGAAGTGAAAAAGAGAAAGAGGGGAAATGGAGAGAGATAAAGAGAGGGAGGAAAAAGAGAGATGGAAAAGGGAGAGAGGGGCAAAAAGAGGACAGGAATTGGGGGGGAGAAGGGTGACGAAGGGAAAGAGAGAAGGGGGAGGAATATTTCTTCACACTTAATCCCTTCTGTGACACAAACATGCTGGGTTTCAAGCATTATAACATATCAAGTGAACATCCGAATTAACGACAATCATGAATCATACAATTAATGGAAGTGCATTGGAAAGGACTACGTATAATCATTTCCTAAATGCATACTGACTTATACATTATTTCTTCAGCTTAAATAAAGGTTTTGAAATCACCTTCTTCATCTGAATTAAAGTGCAACATTATAACAACTAACGTTAGAGTAAAATAAAGCAGCCCTGTCTTAATCTCTGCCACATGTCTCGGTCACCAGTGAACATCACCTATTGGTGTTTCAATTGGCTGCAACCATGCCACGAACGATGCTAGTAATCAAAATTACATAATAAAATTAATAATAAAATTTTTGGGTTCTCTCAATTTATTCAATTTTCTTTCATATTACATTTAATCATATTTTTAAGTTGAAATAGTCATGAAATAGTAAAATGACCAAATACTATTATAAACAAATATGTGGATACAAGGAGATCAATATTACTCACTCTAAATTGGTTTCTTGCACATTGTGTACATTTGAGAACACGTGTCTATAGCATAAAAATTTCCTCCAAAGAACATTATAAATATTTTTACAAATTAATTTAGTAAGTTTTTATCATTTTTCTTTTCAACATAAACAACAGTTAGGTGTCTGAAATGTATCTGCCTTGCTGAGAATCGGAGAATGTGTCGCTTCCATCAAACAAAGCACAGGAATTGAACATTTTATCATTTCAATTTTTTTCTTTTTTTCTCTTCTTCCCCCCCCCTCCCCCCTTCAAAGTTTTTGGAAAATTATAGAGTGTGTGCCAATAATGGACAACCTCACTTCTTTACTGGTCCTTTGCTATGTATGTGGGGGAAAAAAAGCCATTTCTGAGAAACTAGTTGGTAAAATTTTGAAAATTCGCGTATGTTTGAAAGTAAAATAAGCACAAATACTAATATTTTCGAAATATGAACATGACCTAATTTGAAGATCTGTTTTTGATTAATACATTTTAATTAAGAAAAACATTATCTTCATAATATTATGATAATTTTAATAATTAATCATAATAACAATAATTGGGTAAATGTGTGGGAAGAAAGCCAAACACTTTTTAATTTTGCCAGTTTTTTTGGAAATCAAAGGGATTTCCATATAAATGATCCATTTTTAGGGCCTTTGCTATCCCAGCAAATTTTTTTAAAATTGGGGCCTTTTTTTATTATTGAAAATTTGCAGGGGCTTTAAAGTAATGTATCCCAAAATAAATATAATTTTTCAAAATTCCAAGGAACCTCGACATCAAGTCAGATCAATCTAGGGAATATCACTTTGGAGACAATGCGACCGAGTGGTTTAACCATAAGCAATTTGTTCATAGACTTTTTGCGTCAATCGATTTTTTCGGATCAATGACTCCAAAATATGAACTCTGACGACACAAGGTGTTAGAGGAAATTAATTTACTATGAAACCAGGGACAACTTGTTCTCTAAACTTTTTCGTTAGCAGTGTTTAGCAATAAACAGTTTTTATGTTCAAAATGTGTCGTTTTTCCTCCAGAATTACCATACAATTCCTTATTCTGCCAAAACAGGTACAAGAAAGTTAAAGGGACGGTTAGAAGATTGAATAGAAAGAGAGAACAAAGCAGTTTTTGTTAAAAGGTTAATTTCAGTGATGCAATACTATCTGGCAATAAATGCTCACTTTGTATTGTAAATAGACCTGTTCTCTATCCTTCACATTTTACAGAGAAGATGTAAAAGTAATCCTCAACTTACTACATTTACGGCAATGTTTCAAGGTAATCTCAGTTCCTAAGCAAAAATTTTGAACAGCGCTTCTTTCACACAAAATTGTATCTTAATAGATAAGTTTTTGTCAGATACCTTAACATGAAACCTCTACATTAATTTCAAAAACTTTTTCTCAAAAATGGTTTCAAAGTTTTGGATTAACCTTCGTCCCTCAATAGCAATAAGGATGAAAGATCCCTTTTTCATTGAAAATCTCTTCTTTTTAAAAATTGCAAATAGCTTAACCATTTTTTTTCGGCATCTTCCTAATAACTACTATATTGGAATGACAAGGTTTAATTCTTAAATGAAATCTGTCTTTAAAGACAGATTTGAAATAACCATAATAACATATTCCTTCAAAAACTATGAGTAAGTTTTTTGCATAATTTTCATGAATATTTGCGATTTTTACAGTTTTTTCTTACAGATGTTCTCACTTGTAATGAACGTAATGACAGTATAAAAAAGTGGTGCTAGTCATTTCCAGCAAACTTGAAAATTGGCCAAAATGGGAAATATTGCAAATGTACAATAATTCATGAAAGAGATTTTTTAATAAAATTTTTCTTAAAATGATGCAAGCCGACTAAAAATAGTCCCCATGATGACATTTTTTTTTTGAAAAAACAATATTTTTTGCAATAATTCTTTAAAGTCAATTTATGAAACTACTTTCTCAACAATCCCATCCAAGATGTTTCTTTTCCCATGTCAAATTTTTCCCAGGGATAGAAACCGAAGGCACTTAAAAGAAAATGCATAAGCCTTTAGAACTCTCCTAAATTTTGAAAAATTTCAAATTTAGAAATAATGCGAGGTAAGTATATGCTTTTTTTTAAGCAATTCAGAGATTTAAGCTGAACAAAACTGTAACCAAAAGAGTGATCCAAGACCCGTGTCATTATAGAAAATGTTTTCTGAATTTTTAAAAGGATTGTCTGCCACCTGTTCTTTTCTTCTCTGTGCCAGTTGTTTCTTCTTTCAGTGGTT